AAGGGCCGTGAGCAAATCTTAGAAGTGCACATCCGAAATAAGAAGCTGGCCGAGGCCAGCGGGGCTTCCCCAGGTTTAGAACACACATCAACCAGCCAATACTGAGTACTCGCGACATCACAGCTTGAATAAGATGGCACATGTGACATCACATACACATGCATACAGCATTCGCAATGAATCGGAAGACTTGTGTTGTTTCCGCCCATTCTCTTGAAACTGGGACACGCTCCAGCCAAGCTCCAGCTGGCTGCAGGGAATCACCTTGACGGACATTGCCAAGCGAACTGCTGGCTTCAGCGGTGCCGATTTGGAAAACTTGATGAACGAATCCGCCATCCTGGCAGCTCGACGCAACAAGAGCGCAGTAACCATGGACGAGATCAACGATGCCACAGATCGCGTCATTGCTGGCCTTGAAGGGCGTCCCTTGAACAACAACGCTTCCAAGAAGCTCGTTGCATACCATGAAGCAGGCGAGCTGTTTCAGCTGTTGTGTGTCCACGCTAGACCGCTAGATATTCAAGAGTGGACAGATCACGACACATACTTTGAAGAGAAGACCAAGAGAATCCAACAAAGGTCGATTGAATACAAGCGACACCAACATGTTTCATCCATTGGAGTCCTTTTTCGTTGTGAGGCCATGCCATCGTCGGATCTTTGCTGCCTCATCATGACCCGGTGAACAAGGTGACTGTCATTCCCCGTGGTCAAGCAAAAGGCCTCACATGGTTTACGCCTGGAGAGGATCAGAGCCTCATCTCTACAGCCATGCTGAAGGTGGATTCAGCATGATTCAGCACAGTTTTGGCATGGTTTCAGTCCGTTTGATCCGGAAGTGCAGCAGAATCACTCCATGGCCTTGGGGTGGCAGGTAGGTTTCTAGATGTTTCATGATGTTTCTAGCCTTCTAGATCTTCTAGCAGAGCAAACCCCATTCGATCTCGCTAGCTGTGCCAGGCCCGGATTGCTGGAGCTTTGGGTGGCCGTGTGGCGGAGCAGTTGGTCTTCGGCAGCTCCCAGGTGACCACTGGTGCTGGGGGAGATTTGCAGCAGGTGGAGCGCATGGCTCGGGCCATGGTCACCCAGTTTGGCATGTCCGATGCTCGGTTTTAAGCTCCCTTGGTGTGGAGACAAATTTTGACAACAGAGGGAACCCTTGGAATTTCCCAAACCTTGAGTCGTCCGAACGTCTTCCTTTGCAAATCACACCAAAGAGTTTCAACTTGGTGATGAAATTAATATACTAATGACTCATGATGAACGAGTTGGTTGATTTGAGGAGTGCTCCTGAGGCGCTGGGAGTTCCCTAGAGACCCTGGTTGCTAGCTGATCATACTGATCTAAGGACGTGGGTTCCATTGCCATCGATGATGGAGGCTTTGGTGGGCCCAACTATTCGGAGGATTTGAACTCAAAGATTGACAGCGCCTCGCCAAACTCATTCGTAGAAACACTCCATGATGGAAATATGCCGAAATCTGCAAGCCCGCTTTGTGCTTGGTGTCTTCCATGGTTTTCCTGGTTTAGTTTTTGACATAGGAAGTTGATGGAAGTTGGGGAGGAGCTTGATCCCTTGATGTTCCTCGGGGCAGCAAGGTGCTATCAAGAACATCTCGGACGAGTGCTTCCAAACAGCGTGGAATCTGCTGGAGACACACCGAGATTGCTTGGACAGGGTGGCTGAGGAGCTTTGTGAAATGGAAACCATCACTGGCGACAGGCTCCGAGAGATCATTGCCCAATACACTGAAGTACCAGAGAAGATGGCCGTGGTTTGAGGTTTCAGTTTATGTTGAGATGTAATTGAATAAGCAGCAGTTCCATTTGGTCACAGAACCGCCGAATTCTTTTGCATTCCATGCATGCATTTAGAGACACAACTCCACTGTACAGATAGCTTGATTCCTGCATCATATGTCCAGTCTTGATGCAGAGTCATTCTCGTTTTTGTTTCTCAGCTGGATTGACATGAGTCACATCCCCAAGCTGTTCCAATCTTCGTGCACTGTCAACGCCTCAATGAACCTCTTGAAACGTACTATGGAAGACACTTCTTGCTTGTACTCCCAATAGGTATTGACCATGTGCACCTCATTCTCAAGTCAGTTGAGCCAGACCGTGTACAAAGAACGGCTCCTGATTATTGATCAATGTTGCCCTAGTATTGAAATATCATGATATATCCGAGATGAATTGGAATTGTGCTGCTTCTAAGGCCTGGAATCAATTATATTATAATTGTATAATTTAATATTGTATATGAAGCCTTTTCTGAGCCTTAAGTCATAGTGATAGTGGAAATATGTGGAAACTGTATTGAACTATATATCAGGGAAGCTCTAGATACCTCCAGATTCTAGATCTGAAAAAACATGTAGGTGTCCAGTGAGCACCTTGCAGTCGTTGCCAACATGCCGGTCTCTTTCTGTCACTCCTCATGATTTTTTTGGGATTCTAGCACTGTGCCTGTGAGGCTGGTGAGGCCAGATTCTGAGCTCAAAATGGCCAGCGGGCTGGAAGGGTTCGAGCTCAAGCGCTTGAATGGAAAAGGTCGAAGCTTCTGCAATGCTTTTGGATGCAGGCGTGTTGCTGGTCCTTTGAGAAGATTGCTCGTTGTTCCTTTTAAACTCGGGCTGGCTTCTCTTTAGATTTAACGTGATTTAACTATTGAGGTCTCTCGTGAACCGTACAGATGACTAAAGTTGCTGACTAGCTTGTCAGAAGTGTAAATACATCTTCGCTGAAGTTTTGCAGCATGGTCATGGATGGCCATTGGCCACCAAACATATCCAAAAATAGCCACCACAGATCTATACTTGAATACTCAACGGCAACCTGTATGATCCTCTATGACCATGGGCTGAACACGAATGCTCTTTATGTATGGTACTGGCTCTCAGGGCAGTTCCATCATTGCTTCGGGTGATCAGTGGTTCGGGTGGTGGGGCACGCGATGTTTAGTCTGGGGTCCCAGTTGGGGCTCTCCCGCGATCACAACGTGGCTGGCGATATTTGCGGATACTGTCAAAAAAGCAAGGCTAACTCCAATCTAAATGAAACTATATTCATCTATGTTTCTTGTTTGCTCAGTGTTCACGACTTTAGTTTGGCTGTGTTTGCCTTTTGTGTTTGGAGCTGAACGAAGTCCTTTACTCTGCCTGGCTACTCTGAAAAGCATTTGGGACATTCTAGATTTATCTCTTTCAGGATGCGCTGGGTTGTGCTTCTCCTTGGATCTCATGAACGTGTTTAGAGGATTGTTACCAAATGGCCTTGTTGATTATGGGTTCATTGCCGGGAATGATGAGTCGTAGGTCCGTTCTTCAGAGCAGAGAATTAGCCCATATTTGGAAGTAAACTTGTTGCCTGGAATATCCTTGGATGCTGGGAGGGTGTATCAACAAAACACATATGTAAGGTTCCATGGATGGAACACTATGAATGCTACAATTGTCTCGGTTCTGCTTGTGGCCTGCTCAGGGTAGCGTTTGCCCGGAGGTGCGACTGGACTGTTGGGCCCGTTGTACTGTTCTGGTCATTTCAAGGTAGCTAGAGAACTTCCAAGTGTAGACAGAACAAATGCCAGCAGTAGTACATGTGCATTGTGCATGAGTTGTGTGCTGTTGCGTGTATCGTTTGGAGATGTTGCTTCATATCCTCCCATGTGAGGCGGTCTCTTCCACGGGAACACCGCAATCATGCACAAGTACCGGCGGGGCACTCCGGATGGTGTAGTGAGATGCGACATATTATTTGGTGCTCGATGACCCCAAAGTCAAGAGTGAGTCTTCACTACATTTTGATGTCTCTGGCATTCTCGAAGATGTTTGTCACTTCGCTGTACCACATCTGTTCTATGCCTTTCATCATCTTCAGCGCTTCGTTGCGTTGCACTCGATCCATGGCCGCAGCTGTCCCTAAACGCAATTCAAATCAAACGCTGTAACCCAGGTGTGCCATTGCCATGGCAGTCTTCAGTAAGATGTCAGGACGCCGTACCGCTGTGCCGCTAGTGTTGGGTGCTGCTGCTTTGGCAGCGACAAGCTTCGTGGTTCCAGGGGCTCCTGTGCAGCAAGTCTCTGCTCGAACTCCAGTGACTGCTCAGGCGAGGCCAAGGATTGAACAGCTCATGATCCTCAGGTCTAGTTTCGAGTATGCTTCATTCAGAAATCTGATTGGGTGGCACGCACAGTCATCCAAGGATTCTAAGGGTTCGGATTTGTGTTTCTTTCTTTCAGGTGAAGCAAGATGCAGC